ATACTGGGAGAATATTGACCGGCAATAGAGCATTTTGATTGGTTGATTTTAGTTATTGGCCCTCGGACTGCCCGAGTCGTGTAATAAAACAAAATAGTTAAGATTTTGGTTTAACTCCAAAAAATCTGGCTTAAAGAATATGGTACAAAAAGACTTTGTAATAAACAGGTGCAGTGCTGAGTGCATTGAGCATTTGACAGGTGCTATTTATCCGACAAGGCCTGAATTTGCATTTCTGTCTTCAAAACCAAATCTGCAAAGCATATACAACAGTCTTAGTAACAGATACCTTCATTGCACTGTTGTCCATTTGGAGCCATAAGTTGTAAAGGGATCTAAAGGGTGATGAAAAAAAAGTTTGAACGATTTATTCCATCAAGTGAAGGAACATTACTAACACTGTACATCATGACCTACCATTTAGGGAGTGTAAGGTTGTTGGGCAGTTCCAAAGTACAGTAGAACTGCTACTCCCAAGGGAAATGAGTTATCAAGAATTACGTTTTTAACATTCTTGCACAATCAACAGTCATTTTTGTACATTTAGTTTGTTTTATGAGAGTAGTCAGTTAGGGAAGGTTAGAGCTCTAAATGTATTAAATTTTCATAAATTTTATCACACTCATATCCATGACAATTTAAGATTGGGAGTGACAATCAGCCGCATTCTGTCACCGACGTTTATCGGTTGATGTTTTTAATTAAAATTTCAAGTTGTGGGGTAAATATTACAAAAAGGAAAGAGGATTAACAGAGAGTTCATGTCAGTTTGATGAAAGCAAATGACTGAAAAAAAAAAGGGTCCAAATCAAGGGGAAATTGCATTTGTTTGAAAAATTTCAAATGCTGAGATTTCTCTTTTTATTCTTTTCTGTGCATATAAAGAAGCCTTTCCGGCCTTATATCAACATGTGTAAAAGAATTGAAACTGAGCACAGACTATATTTAATGAGTTATCACACCATCTACCCACCTCTTCTGATAGTGGTGCACGATGATTATCTATGTCATCTCCATACTTTCCACTTTTATACAATTCATCAATAGCCTTTCTGTCATTGAAGCCATTCATCAAGGCCTGTTAGATTAAACAACTGTTAACAGTCAAACTACATTTTCCTACGAAATACATCGCCACATCCATCTAAAGACTAGTAAAAAGTGCAAGATGGTGAAATGGGTTTAATACATGTCATAAAAGTAGTCTGAGGAAGAAAACAAAACTACCATACACACCACACTCATAAAATTACATGCTTGAGTTTGGAAACTCAAATTTTAGAAAAAAAAAAAAATGAAAGAAAGTGGAGTCTTGGGGAAGTTGCTTTATTTTTAGTTGTTTCAACACACCTACATGTTTGTAAAGTCTCTGAGATTGCACATAGAGACTGAATACTTAGAATCCTTACATTGATAATTTTGGCTAAAATCATATCTTTTGACTTACACTTAAAGAACATCCTTTGTTACAAAGATTTTGGGAAAAAGTTGCCACTTAATATAAGCCTGTCTTAAAGTTATTTTAAAAAATAGTTTTACAAAGCTTTCAAAAAAGTTTAGCTTTCATTGAAAAATCGTTTTACCATAAAACATACCTGTAACCCTGATGTCCATGTATCAAACTGCTGTTTGTCAAAACAAACAACATCTATTGTCTGTAAACTTCTACCAATCTTGTAAACCACAGAGAAAGACATGGACTGAAAAAGAAGAGGAAATTTTTTCCTCGGACTAAGTTCCTAAGCAGCCCAGAAAGGGTCTGATCCTCTCAAAGATATTAGAACTAAGTTTCACCTTAAACAGGTGCATTACTTTGAAATCAAAACTCCTTAAAGGACAAATACAAAACAAAACAAAGCAAAGCTTATCTGAAAGAAGAAGGAAAACAAGCCAATTAAAAAAAAAAAAAATCTGTAGTATAAAAAGAATTGCAATTGAACCTGTGACTTTTATCTACATCATTAATACTGTGTATACTACAAAAATTTACAGGAAACGGTGGGTCAGTTCAATCCTGATAAAAGTGCTCGACATAGCCAATCTTTATCAAGTATTTTTATCTCCCTAGCATTGATTCAGAGGATTGGATCTGAAGAATTTAAAAAAAATTTAAAAAACAAAGTAAACCAGTCTGCATTCAAATTACTTGGTTGCAGTTTTAACTTCCACTACAGGTTTAAATCTTTCTTTGCATACATGAGGCAATGTGTCAATTATTAACAACTAAGAGTACATTAAAACTGATATTTCAGTTACCTCCCTCTGTGGAACAGGGTAGTTCTGAAATACTTTGGTCGTTTGTCCTTTCATCAGCTCAGTCATTTGTGCAGTTAACACTATAAAGGTTAATAAATTCCATTCAGGTGAAGTTGCAGCTGTTATGCAATTTACAATTGCAATAAGAGTGAACTATATTTAATGTCAGTAAGTTATACACTTAGATACTATATGTGTTACAGAAGATTCTTTTTGCACAGGCACCCTGTAAAAAGGTCTGAGTTTAACACTTGAGGCCAGTTCTGTTAACCTTTTTTGTCAAGGCCCTTACATGAGCACAAGTCTTTCACATGCAGGCTATAAAAGATACATCCTCAGAGACCCAGGGGCTGTGGGTCGATTTCAAGTTAGGGCATGAAGAGCCCCTGGGGACATTGTCTTACAAGACTAGTTCCAAACGGTCGCAGTTGTTCTGCCATCTGATTGGTGCCAGAAAATCTTTGTGTTTTTCTGCCCAATCAGAGTGAAGTGTGCTTTAGAGTCCTTTCGTGTGTTTTAACACGGACATATACTAGTAGCTCAGTTGCTCGCTATGTTTGTTTGGACCGTACGACGGAGATTTGCTTGAGGTGAAAAGTTTCAGTCTCAGCACACAATGTAAGAGAAATCGATCATGTCGGNACTACAAACCTCGCAAACTTTAAAACACGTTCTCTAGTGATACCTGCGAAAGTATTCAGTACAATTTCCGGTAAGATTTTCGCGGACATGATGGATTTCTCTTACATTGTGCGCTGAGACTGAAACTTTTCACCTCAAGTAAATCTCCGTCGCACGGTCCAAACAAACAAAGCGAGCAACTGAGCTACTAATATATGTTAAAACACACGAAAGGACTCTAAAGCACACTTCACTCTGATTGGGCAGAAAAACACAAAGATTTTCTGGCACCAATCAGATGGCAGAACAACTGCGACCGTTTGGAACTAGTCTTGTAAGACAATGTCCCCAGGGGCTCTTCATGCCCTAACTTGAAATCGACTCAGCCCCTGGGTCTCCGAGGATGTAAAAGATAGAAAAGTATGTGAAAACACTCTAAAGTAAGGCTATAAGGCTATAAAATCTCTCACTTACTGTTTAGATGCTTTTTGCATAACTTTCACATATAGATCAAATTTACATATGAAATACAAGTGAAAATTGTTTGGTGACGCGCCAAAATTTTACCATTTCAAGGGGTGTAGAACATGTTGATAAGCTTCTGCATGTATTTATCTCTAACTTGTGTGTTTAGTACTTTTGTTTTATTTGACTTCATGATAACAACTCATATTGTCACAATCCTTTCCCACAATTTACCAAAAAAAAAAAAAGACAAAAAGATTATTGACTGGCTATTTCAAAGAAACATTAATGGGTTGAAAGCTTGTGCAAGATAAAGCATATCCAATTAATGCATATCAGTAGAGAGAAGCAAATTGATTACCAGATTTTTCCCCTTTATTTTTTGGAGTTCCCCATTGTACATGAGAGAGATCTGCAATGGTAGATATTCATAAACAAGGAAAACTTTTTTAAAATTCTTTCTGTTAACAGTAAAAAAGGATGGAGTTCTTTAGTTCCTAAACTAATTATATACTCAACGAGTATCCACGCAACAGTTAATGCTGACAACCAAAAAGCTATGTTAGAAGTGTTCAACATTCAAAGTTAGCATATCGTAAAAAATTCTCCAATTCCATCATCACAAAGCAGAAGATATCTAACTTCTCCTTAAAATATCCATACATTGTCCGGCACAGGTAAGGAGATTACTAAGACTGATCAGGTAGAAGTTGTTATCTTGATCTAAAACCAAATTCTTGAAACTAATTTAAAATGAAATGTGTAAGCAGCTTGAGGGGAGAATTAACAATCAGATCTTGGGAGTTGAAAGTTTAAAGCTGGAGTGTTGAAAGAATCAAAAGACACCTATAAATCGATTTATCACACTGTACCTCTTGATAATACAAACTTCTTAATCTGAGGAGTTCCCTAATAAAATGAAAGATTCTTGTTTTAGTAATGTAGCAAAGTTAAGGGCAATAAAGTCTCAAGATATTTATCAATTAATTTTTCAGTCCTGTGGAATTATTTCACTTTTCCCCTCTATCATGTTGAAGAAGGGAGATTATATATGAAATTTGGAAAAAGTTTGGTGCGCTACTCCACAGCCTGTTAATTCATGATAATTATACCATATTTCCTCAAATAAGTGCTCATGCTCTAATAAAAACCCGCCCCTTAACAGTCCACCACCCCCCTTGGCAATAATATCAAACCAATGGCCTCCCTCAAATGGGTGCCCCCCTTCCCCGCTCCTCCCTCACTTTCTAAAATAGGGATACAAGTAAACCCTGTTTCTATACTGCCACTGTACTAGCCTTTATCTAATACTTTTTAAGCTTCACCTAAAACGAAATCAGTACCGGTCAATAATTTCTTAACAGGTGCCTCCATCGATTAGACACCCTTCTTTCAGTAAGCACCCCTCCTTCAAGCCAAAATTTTAAATTAGCGCCCGGGCGCTTAATAATTCAAGGAAATGCGACAATAAACTTATCGATCGTAAATTGCCCCGTCTCATTGACGTGCAATATGTTTAACTTACGTATATGTGCACGATCCTTCGCAGTATAGCA